TAGCCTAACTACATGTGACTCACTCTCACACATATAAGATAAGCATTCCATCTTACATTTGTGTGAAACTCTAGTATGAATAATAATATTTATGTCAAAATAATTATTATACATATGGAAATCAGTTGAAATCAAGGATATCTGAGAATAAAGAAAATATATTATTTCTAACTTCTATTTTAAGTAATTATTTTCTCTTTTTTATATTGTCTTAATTTTAAATCTAATATTGTATACACATGTTGATAATGAAAAGATAAATTAAAAAAATAATCAATTACACATTAATGTAAATATTTTTGGGGTGTCTGTGATCTTAACAATAGGATGCAAGAAATAATGTATTTTTCTTGTAATTCCATAATTTATTAAAAATGTCTTTTAACTATTCACTTTTGAAAATATGTTCGATATTGATGTCGCAATATATAATTTATTAAAGTATAAATTTGGTTTTAAATGATTTATTTGTATTATTTATATTAATTAAATTGAGTAAGCTTTCAGCACTAATTTTTTAAGTTCTGAGTGACTCTATAAATTCAATAATTATTGAGTCATTTAAAGTACATTTCTTCAAGTGTCTTTATCGAGGAAGGGGTACCTGTCTCACTGAGTGTATTCTCTTTCAAAGTTTACTGACAAAGGCGTTGTTTCAATCTCAAAGACTGTAAAGCCATCGATATGATTTAGTGCGCTTCGAGCCTTTGGGGATGAAGCATGATTTTCAAATAAACTTTATTATTATTATTAATAATGTGATAATATTAGGCCTATATCTAACATTGTCAGTTTCTTCTCTTAGATTTGAATTAATTTGGTGATCATAACAAACTGTTTTCATTAAGTAGTTAAAACAAGGAAGTTATCTGTTTCTTAGACGTAATTTAATAACATCATCTGGCTTCTTAAGAGCTATACAAGTATGATCAGTAAAAAGTGTAATGACCAATGACATCATGCCTGTGTTGAATTTAGTCTAGAATAAAATAACTGTAGGACTACATCTTTTTACTGTTCGTTTAGGTCACTTGTAATTTAAACATTTAACCTTTTGTTTAACTTAAATTATTTTTAATATTTTAAGTAATACATCCTTTTAACCTTGTATAGCCGAATACTGTGAAGATTATTTACATTTTTTTTTTTTTTTTTTTTTTTTTTTTTTATTTAAAATTTTTAACTCCAAAAATTTCTAAAATTTTTTTTTTTTTTTTTTTTTTTTTTTTTTTTTTTTTTTTTTTTTTTTTTTTTTTTTTTTTAATTTTTTTTTTTTTTTTTTTTTTTTTTTTTTTTTTTTTTTTGTATTGTAAAAGTTTATACTCCAAAAATTTGCAAAAGTCAAATATTACACTGGTAAGCTTTTGGCTTGTAATTGTATCTGCTTTTTGTACATATTTAGTATTTATCTACAGTATGTGGTCAATTGCATGAATTTTCGGTTATTTATTTGATTCCAAGTACAATTATTTCCAAATAATTTATTGAGTTGTAATATTATAATGTATTCTCAGGTATTTCATTTGATTAGATCAACTTTATTATGAGCAAATGATATACTGGTTGCAATATCTATTTTGTAAAAGCATTAATATAGGCCTAATATTTAAATTATTCTTTTGCAAAATTGGTGAAATATATTCTCTTACATTGATACAATTAGCCAACCAAGTATTTTGTATTGTATTTTTAGATAAAACATAATTTTTAGGTTCTGTAAGTTAGTTGTCTATGACTATGCATTGATGTAGTAACTATCTTTAACATTGTTTCAATCTAATTTTTTTCTTACATTGAATTTATTTAAACCATTTTAGTGCAAATAACAATGCTACAAGAGTACAGAAGAAAACTACATTGATTATTTTTAAAACTTTTAGGCTAGAATTATGAATTATTTTAAATATGACCAATTTGTTTTTTTAATTTCAAAATATTAATTAAATAACTAAATAGTCTACATGCGAAAAACAGTAAATCCCTTAGTAGTATAGTAGTTTATGAACTTCTTCCTCCTTAATATGTTCTATCAAAATATGTGTCTATTAAAATGAATCATTATTCACAACCTCAATAATTCACCACCAGTCTGTAAAAATTTTCACATTAACTGTATTTGCATTGTGTGTATAATGAAATGATCAAACTATTCAAATGGCTATTGATTTGATACTAATGCTGGGATGTCTTGGATGTTATTGCCAATAGAATTGTAAGAAATAAAATCAATATGACTAGCAAGTTCAGCTGTTGACTTGATTATTTCAACACAGCGTTTAATTTATTATTTTGTTAAATTGCTCATACCTTCCTTAGAAAAAGGCTTTTTTTCCTCATCATTTCATACATTAGGTCAACTGTATTTTGGATGCAATTAAATAGTGGTTAACTTTGCTTTTCCTCACAATATTATATGCATTTTTGAATTAAAGCCAAGTATATTTTGAAACATGTTATGTTTAGGCTTGAAAACAAAAGACACCACAAATAAATGGATGGTTCGACTAGACACATTCTTCAGCAGACAATACAACTCAAGAAACAACAGATACTTTAACTTAAAATACAAAGTTTTGTTTTTGTAAATTTCAATAAAGTTAATGAAGCTCAAAGCTCAATGTTCAGATAGGTATTTTCCGATATCTAATAGGTTCTGTGAATATTTTCATAGTTATTGAACTAAACAAGCCATTTCATTCAATTTTAAACGGAAGGAACATTAGGCACATCCAATGTATCCATCACTGCTCTAATTTCTTGCAATAATACATAAACAATAATGAAGAATGGAAACCAACTAAATCACATTTTTTGTGCCATGTCATTGTATGGAATTAATAATTAATCAAATACTCTCTTACTATTGATCTTAAATTTTCCTCCATTTCTATTCTCCGTTTTGTTGTTTAACATTTTAAATTAAATAACGCTTAAATTCTTCTACCTTAATAGTACTCACCACAGAATGATGTCTTCAACCACTAAACATCTATTTCTAACCATCGCATAGATCATTTCCTGTTCTGAACATTGTGACATATTGGCTTTATTGAGAGTTTTGAAAACATAAGTTATATTTTTAATTAAAGTATCTATTGATTTTTGTTTTTATGGCCTACTAAGGAAAGTATTTAGCCCAAAATTCCAGCTTAATTATTCTGTCTTTTTATTTCAAGCCCAAACATATCTTGTGCCACTATTTTTTCACTTCAAAAAGCTTGAGCGCCGTCCATTTTATATATTATCCTGTTTTAAAAGGTGTTAATGATTTTAGATACCTTCTTAAAAATAAAAGTGATATTAAATGCTAGAAATGATGGTGTAATTTCTTAATGCTTCAGTTATTTCTCTGTTGAATTAAAAGTACAAAATCATAGTAATGTAAAAATTAGAGACATTGAGTACTAGTAGGCTAATTCAACCAAACAGTACAGGTTACTATTTAATTTAATTTTTATGCTGGAATTTAAAATTAAGAACTATTTAAAATGAGTAAATTTAAAAGTATAGCATGTGATTGCTAAAACTAATATGAATAATTCTTTCTATAAAATATCTTTGATATGATGCAGAGCTGAGTTCAAGCAGTGTTATTGTGTTGTTCTGTATGTCAAAGTTCCATAAGTCTTGTTCCTAATATATTCTTTTTAGTAGAAACAATCGTCTATTAAGCCAACAAATTTAAGTGATTAGTTATTATTATTTAAATAATCAAAGAAAGATAATGCATATATAAATTAAAAGAAAATCATTGTAATTTTTTTTTGGCTTGTGCTTTGTCTTATCTTTAATACATCTTAACATTTTACCGTTAGTGAATAATTTTACATCACATAATGGAAATAGGACACATTTGAGTCAATATGCATTCTTTTCTATTTGCTTCTTTCAATTTTTTAATTGATGTGGAAATAAAACACATTTTTTCCCTCTGAAAAGAAAATGCATGATGAAAATGTTCAATTTTCTAAGTTTATCTCTTAGTTCAAGCTGCTTAGCATTTAAAAAAAAAAACAGTCCATTTTCATAGCTGCCTAAAAATTAAAATTTCTATTTAAAAAGAAATTCAATGAAGGAAATAGTTTTTTTAGCATTCTGGCATAAAATGGATACATAGTAAAAATTAACCAGTCATTAACTGAGTCATTATCATTTAAAACAAGTGCAGTATTGAAAGAGAATTAAATAAATTACATTTTCTATACAAACCAGAAATCAACACTAAAATTATTAATCAAATTTATTATTGGCAAAACATTGATGTATCACAACCTATAAAGTATTAACAGATAAATGAATCCTTTTAATTTTTTGTTGTCTTTTTTATTTTTTTTTTATGAATTTGAAATGGCACATTCAAATATCACTGAATTTTTCAAATATAAATGTTTATTAATTAAAATAAAAAATACAAAAAGGGTGGAATAAAAAATACTTTTAATAAAAAAAAAATAATATCAGTTTTGAACTTAAAAGACATAAAGGTAAATCACAACAGTTAAAATTTGACCTGTAAAAGATGAAACTTAGTTAATGTTATTTTGAAATTTTAAGGGACTTAAATATCACATGTTCTTCAGTAATGAACTTACAATTATTCAAACCTTCAGTGATGGGTCCCAGTTATAGTTGTTTTCTTGCTAGTTAAAATAATTTTTTCATATTCATAGTGCCTCGGATACTCCTGCATTTTGAATGAACACATTATAAATCAATGCGAAATAATAAAAGAAACTTTGGCAAAATTTTAACTGACTGTGTTTATTGCAAAGTCTATAACTTTGTTCACAAAGAAGAGAAAGAAAGGATTACTTATAAAATGCCCTATAGTTCAGAAGTTTCTTTAAACTTTACATAGGACAGAAAGTTAATTAAGGTTTTAAACTTTTAAATAGCATTGTTACAACCAATTTTTTGAAATTAAATTGATCTTTAATTGAACTATTTAGAACATTTTTTGTTTCCAACTAATTTTAAGTTATCTTTAAAAAAAAAGTTATCGTTTTCTTGATCGAACTTGATTAAAAAGTTTGATAAATATTTAATGTTAAGATGATTTTTCTTCAATTTTATCTTTCTTATAAAAATCATGCAGGTTAAGTCAAATTATTACTTGAGTTAAACCTGCTCATCATCTTCACACCCTGCAGCAAAGCCACAGTTTACAGCATTCTCTGTGTTGGATAAAAGTGGAATCATTTCATGCCTGATTTTTTCAGTCGCCTCTTGACTATTCCCAAGTTTGCCACCTTTCTTTTCACTGCACCCAAATTTGGCCCTGTTTTTGTGCGGCAAGGTTTCCACTTCCACATTACAGGAACTGTCACAATGCACTGAGTCCATGAAGGGAAATGTTTCCTGGTTTAGAGGACTATACTGATAGATGTCTTCATCATCGTCTCCTTCAACGCAAAACTGCTCAGGCACGTCGACAAACGGAGAAACCCTGTGATTGGCTATGACAGGACTTGTAAAGCCAGGCGTGAGACCATTCATGGCCTTAACATTTTTAGAGCTGTCACTAACTTGTGTGTGTCTGCCTTCTTTATTTTCAATGTCAATATTTCTTAGATTTCGTTGTTGTTTCTCCTCATCTTTGCCTAAGGGCCAGGAGTTTGTAACAACCATAACACTGGAGTCATTGCTACAAAATGCATCATCATTATTGACATCGTCTGTACACTGCTGACTATATTTTAGAGCGGGCTTGCTTATCTGTGGGGCTGATGCTGGCTTTAAGATTGTCTTGCTCAGTTTGACCGGAGATTCAAAATCAAAAGATTCAATCCTAACGATCGGTGCTTTACCTTTACACGAGGATGTCAGGGATTGTGTTGAGGACAAACTGCCAACCTCCTTGGGAGTGTGCTCGCAGTTAGAAAATGTCATCGTAGAGCAATCTTTGGTTGGTAAATCATGCAAAAAAACATCATCATTGTCTTTAACGGAAGCATTGCTTAAACTGTTTGATCTGTCAGTTTTTTCTCTGCTGTGTTCACCATCACTGATTGAACTGCACTCCTGTTCCGTTTTAGTCCTTATTATGGTGGGGATAGAATCAGCGGTGAACTCCAGTGGTTCTAAATCTTTCTCTTCAACACTAATGGAGTTCTCTTTCTCTGATTCCTCCCCACCAATAGCAAACTTCAATCTCCTCCTTCTGGAAGATGACCGACGAATGAGATCTTCACTGGTCGGGCCAACTAGTAATGAGTATGGATGGAGATAATTATTGTGTCTGAAAGTTGATGGTGAGTCCAAGGAGAAGTTATAGTTGCCTCCACTTAAGCTTGGGGAGATCTGGTGCTGGGGAGATGTATCAGACCTAAAGCTGTACTTTGGAGTCACAGGCTTTTCCACTTTCAGCCTTCGCCTGGTTGACCCCGTTCGTTCCAGCCTGGCTATCCCTCTCTGGACCCTCATTTTTCTTCTGCTGCTGTCTTCTCCTGTTAGCCAGTAGGTCTTCATCACACCTTTTCCCTGTGGAATAAAGCAAACAGCAAAACAAAAAGTTCTATTTCTGTTATTTCTTCGTTCAAATAGTGTTAATTTAAATGTTAAAAAATATTATATCTATAATTATATTATATCATAGATAAAAATGGGAATCGGATACGGCACCTTTATATCAATGTTTCCTCGCTCTTGAAGCTCAAAACCTCCAATCAGTACTAAGAGATTCATAGTTGGCTCAGAAATATGAATTTTCAATGCTGCAATATACAAGAAATACAATTTAATTAAAACACATTAAAAAAACCCAGCTGTTAAAATATCATAGTTATAGGCCTAAATATTATTTATAATCTAAATAAAACTTAAATGATTAATTAAGTTGGCTAATGTAATCTTATTAATAAAAAAAATAGAGCCTTAACATTTTCCATTGTTTATTGGAGAGCTGCTAAAGACTTATTTTCTTGTTTGTTAATGTACATTTCTGGAATCTGGTTACACTAGCAGCCTAATTTTTTTACTTGGATTAAACTTATCCAATAACCTTGGCTATTGCTTTCCATCCTTGATGCAACGTTCACCGTGTCTCCAAACAAACAATATCTGGGCATCTTTCGCCCCACGACCCCTGCCACCACTGGACCCGAGTGTATTCCTATCCTCAGTTTGATCTGGTCATTGGGGCGGTGAGGAATTTTAAACACTTTCAGCTCCTGTAATAAAGGGCATACATGCTGTCAACTCCTCCCCTTTGAGGATCTTTGTTTCAAGTGTTTTCAATGAATAAATTGACTAAGACGATGGCTTAGTAAACAGAATGTTGATACATTGCATTCATTTGATTATTGTTGCTTCGCTGTTAATGAAAGATACGATTAAATTTAAATTTGATAAACTGCATGAACTATTCATTCGCACACTATTTTATAAAACTTCTTAAACATTCTGACATTTCTAAAAGTTAATTGACAGTTTCTTCCATCTTGAAAGCAGTGGATGTTTTTATGAATACCTGTAATAAGTGCAGTGCCATTGATGCTATCTCCCCAGCATGTCTGTTACCATTCCTCTTAGGTAACCCGCTGACAACCATGTAGGCATCTCCAATAGTTTCAACTTTATATACATCATAGAACTCAATGATGGAGTCAAATAGAGTGTACAAGTCATTGAGCATGTCAACAATCTGAAAAAAAAGGCAAAGTTATAAGTCAAACATTGGTAGGCCATTGTAAAAATAACGATATTTTATTAGAAGTGAAATATTTTGATGTGATGAATAAAAATGTAACTGTTATTTGAAATGTTTATGAATTCATTAAATTACTGTCTTAGATATTTGACATTTAAATTTCATTTTCAAAGAAACCATTTAAAAAATCTTTATTGGAAAGTTAAGATAAAATAATAAATACAGGTCAAACTGCTTATCCAAATTAAATTTTCTCCTTCAATAATTATCTTCTGAAACAGATTTGCATTTACAATCAATCAACTCAATTGTTAGTTAAGCATATTATTTTTTATATATTTAATCTTCATATATACAGAAAAACGCATATATAGATTGCTATATTTTACAACAGTTCATGACCTGCATTGGTGTGCTTTCTGAGCTTAGAGTTGTGAAACCACATATGTCACTAAAGAATATGGTAACCATATCAAAACTCTCTGCTTCAACTTGCTTCCCATGCATCAGTTGCTCAGCAACAGTCCTTAAAAACATTGTTGATTAAAAATGTCAGAACTATTGATGAAATGAAGCTTACTAGTAAAACAAATCGCATAACTAACATCTACTATTTGCTTAAATTTGAAATGAGAAAAAAATTATCTAAGGGCAGGCTAATAAGTTTTGCCTCAATTATAACTAAAAAAAAATATATATTTAAACAATCTTTTTTGTATCAAGTTTCTTCATACATTAAACTGTATTTGAAAACACAGATGTTTCAATGCCCGGAAAAATTTACACCAAAATTCAAGAGCGTTCACCCTTTCAGTTCTAAATAATCAGGCGCTAGGTTGGAACTATAAGCATTAAACAATTGGGCAAAAAATATCAACCAAACTTTTTATTTAAAAAAAAATGAAAAGTTGATAAATGAATTTAATAACAAAGCTAAATATGATAAACAAAAATTCAACTTTTTCTCATTTATAAAATTTCAAATTATTATCTGTTACTTTTTATGCAAAGAGTAATCAATACCCTAATGGCAATGCAAGTTGAGTTAAATAATATTACCCTGGTAGCATGTCCTGCAGCAACTCTTCTGTTTTCTTTTTCTCCTCTATTAGCTCATCTGTTCGAGACTGAACAAGACTCTCTAAATTACTGGCATACTTTTCCATAATGGCCATCATGTTATCAAATATACTAGATTTCCTGTTTCAGAATATAGAAATAATATGTTCACGAGTGATAAATTAATAACATAATAAATTTAAAAAAAATTATGTTTGACATATTTTATAATGATTGCAATTTGAGTAATTAGCCTTAAAGTCAATGGGATTATTTTAGTGATGCTAAAAGTTATTCTAAAATAAGCAAGTGTGTTGTTACTGTTCATCATAGACACTTTTATTAAAGAGAATTATCAATGTTTTCAGTTGGGCTGAACATTGAAATAATAAATATTTTTTTAAACTTGACATCGTTAATTGTTTAATTTGAAACATTACTTTTAGGGACAAATGAATCCAACCATTGGGTGCTGGGTATGAGTTATAAAAAAATAAAACATACTCGAGGCACTAAATAAATACATTTAATAACTTTTATTAAAACAACATATCTACAGGGTATTTATAAAGGGGAGATTAAATTTTTAAAAATTAATTCTGTGAGCAAAAATTAAAATAATTAAACATAAATTATAGAAATTAGGCTTTGAGTGTGTTCAAATAATAAGAGAATTGTACAGAAAAAATAATTTTTCAAAACCAAGGCCAATAAAGCAACATGAAATACGAATTTTTGGAGATTCAAATGATTGTTTCCCTTATCGTGATTTGGTACACGGCACTGTAAAAGGAGTTAAAAGTTAGTTTTTCTATGATAAAAACATAAACCGAATTCAAGTAAAGAAAAAATTCTTACATTCCTTTCTGCATAGGTTTGAGTTTTGTTCTCAGGGTTTTGAAATCTGGTCTCTTCAAAGGATCCTCATCCCAACATTCTTTGATAACATCAGTGATGAACTTTGGTGTGGAACTGATCTCTGAAAGGCGTGGCCTGTACGGATGGCCATTTTCATCCATTGTGATGACTCTCTCAATTATTTCTGAAACGTAATCACACAATGAGCACAAATAAATTATTTTGTTTCGTTATGTAGTTTTGAAAAATATCTGTGGAATCTAAATTTTTAGAAATTCCACAAAAAATAGTATAGCTTTGAAAATAGTTTAAGAGATGACAAGAAAAAAAGGTTTTCAAAAGAAAAGCTTTTAAAAAATGTTTTGTGTTCCCTCACTCAGTGCTTTTCTTTTTCTAAATGTGTTAAGTTTAACTACTAAATTGTGGAGACATCAAACCTTTAGGAGTCAGTTCACATGCTCCATAAGGCCCATTTCTTGAGTGAAATTCAAACATGATGATACCAAATGAGTAGACGTCACCTTCTTGAGTCCCTCTGCCTGGGGAATGCTTGTTTCTGATTAGTTCTGGGGCTTTCCACAACATATCTGTACACAACACATTTTTTTTTAAAGAAATGAAAAAAGGTATAACATGCTTTTATTTATTATTAAAAAAATATTCTGATTAAAAAAAAAAAAAAAAAAATATTCGTGAATTTTCAAGTGTAATGCAACTTGATGATTCTGGTGTTAATGGTAGAGACCAGATAACTAAAAGACTATTTTAAAGGTGAAGAACTCCAGAAGTATATATATTTCATAGCATTTTAAATGTTATTTCCCCTGGATCATTTTCATGACTTGGAACCATTTAAAATGAATAATTTGTAAAAAAAAAAAAATCAAATCTATTAAATCAAGTCTGATACATCCAAGCAAAGAGTTATAAAAGAAATAAACGAAGTTTATATATGTATATATATAAGTAAAATTGTTTTTGTAGCTGCTCAGCATTAATAATATTTATTTCCCCTGGAACATTTTCATGAATTGGAACCATTTAAAATGAATAATTTGTAAAAAAAAAAAAAATCAAATCTATTAAATCAAGTCTGATACATCCAAGCAAAGAGTTATAAAAGAAATAAACGTAGTTTATATATGTATATATATAAGTAAAATTGTTTTTGTGGCTGCTCAGCATTAATAATATAACAATATATGTATAATGAGACTAGATGTCTGATACACTATTCTCAAGTTATCCAAATTAATTTGACATTGACATTATAGTACAAAGCACTTAAAATCATGGGCAATTATAATTTCAATAATCTTTGAGGAACATAAAATAAAAAAAAAAATGGAAATGTATGACTTAAATGGCTAGTA